ATCTTCTTATTTTTCCTTTTTTAAGAAGCTTCTATTTATATATTTTTCTAAGATTAAGGCAAAAATACTTTTAATTTTCTTCAGTCCTTTTAATTACACCTATTATATATTACGTTTCGGGACAATTTGATATTCTTTTGTAGATATTCAATTTAATGGCAACACAGGCATTTTTTCTGTATTTATAATTTGTTCTAAAGAGACAGCAGTCCCAGGATAATATAAATATTCTCATTTCATATTCCTGCGTTCGTTCCAATGTGCTCTAGAAGCCAAGAAATTTTTTTAAAATATAATTTCATACAAAATTTATGTTATTATTTTTTACCTTGCTTAGCTCGTAGTTTTAGTTTACTATATATCAATCTATTTCTTTTTTTTTTTTTTGCAAAATAATAAAAATTTCTGACTATTGTATTACATGATTTATAATGTATTAGAAATGAGAAAAACCCAAAGGCGCTTCTAGGTTCTAGTAGGCTAAGTAATTTTTTGTTACAAAAAAGCAAGTTAGATTCCTTTTTAAAATCTTTTAAAACTCTTAAATACGAATTCTTATATAAATAAAACAATACAGCCTTTAGTATTTGATTTTCTTGGAAGAGGTTTTGCTTGCTTTTTGGTAACAAAAATTTACTTGGCCTACTCCACTAGAAGCACCTTTAAGTTTTTCTAATTTATAATACCTTATAACTCATTTAATACATATATATAATGGATTTTAATTTTTAATGTTTCATTTTATTGTTATTTTTTTGTGATAAAATTAATTCAGAAGCTTAACATAAGGTTTGATAAGATTTCGACACATTAATATTATAAATTAAGCAAAACAGATCATTTTTAGGTGCATATTGGACAATTTTACTCATTTTGAGTTTTTCGGATTATAATGAATTCTTTGGGGAAAGCATAGATTATGAGTTTTAGAAGGGAAAAAAAAACGATGAAAATAGTTAGTTCATGTAAAATAAGAAAAGAGTGAACTTGCTCTAACTCCTCAACCTCAGATACTGTATAAAAAGGCTATTTATGAAATTGATAGCAGATTTTATCTTCTTTCACTTGTATAGATTAATAATTTCGATAAAATGCATAGTTTTGGAGTCATGGCCAACAAATTAGAAAAATGCAGAACTTTCGCTTTTTTTGGCACATATAGTCGTCAACTAGAAACGTAATGTAAAATTTCGTTCGGGAACATCAAATTTAGATTCAGCATCCCAAAAAACATAAAATACCGACTTTTTGATTTTTTTTTCGTCATCCAGCTACCATCCGACTGGTCTAATTTGATGAATTTGACGTCGCCAGTTTTCAAAACGCAACCGAGTACATCGTCAGTCAAGGTTAATTCCCTTTTAGGGACATATTCTTTACATCATATCTAAATTTCAGTCGTCAGTTCTTCCATTAAATGAAAGTCTTAACTTCGCCACTTTAATTTAAATTTTCTTATAGAAAGAAACGGCTTTCGACGGATTGACCGAGGATGTGTGTTTATCTAGAATTTAAATTGATTATTAGCTATAGGGTCATTCAGTTAAATGAAGTGGTTGGTAGTTCCTAGTCTATTACACTTGGCTCATCTTAGCTAAAAATATTCCGATTATTATACTGTATAAATATTGATGTTTAACTTTAATAATACAAAATCATTTTAAACAGGCTTGTTATAAAACATTATTCGTGCTAAAAAATAATATTGACAAGTTTTGTTTGATTTTTTTTTTTAGGAATTGGATTGTTTAATTGAAAAATGAATCAATGATAAATGTAATAAAAATTAACTTACTGACTGGGGAAGGTTACAGTCAGCGGGTCACCTATTTCAATTTTTTTTTTTCGGTGACACTACATCGAAAAACATTAGACACATGTCCCATCGGGGAGTTCCAATGGGCTCTAGAAGTCGAGAACAAATTTTTTTAATATAATTTCAAACAAAATGTATTAATCGAAAATCTTTAATTAATCTCCTTATTCCTCAGTTGATATGGTAAATCTCTCCCCTCCCCCCATTCTCCTGCTATATTAAATCATTCCTTTTAATTGTATCTTTTTTTTCCTTACGCCTCTACTTCTCCACTACATCCATTATTATAATGAAATTTTAAAGGAGAATTATTGTATTATTGTATTCAAATCCATCTACTTCCGAAGCAAGTGTTGAGCTTCTATTTTGCTGATTAAGATTAATTTTAAGTGACAATAGGCAGTCAATGAAAGACTATTTGCTCTCGAAGATTGTTATTGAAATCAATGAATAAATATTTTATTGTATGTTATTTTTTAGACTTACAAGGAGAGGCTTCAGCCTGTGGGTAATCGATTTCAGCCAATTTTTTTTTGGTGATACTACATCGAAAAATGTTGGCCACATATCCCGTGACACATAGCATTCATTCCTAGAAGGCGAGAAAAAAAATTTCATTTTCAATTTTCAAACAAAATGTATGTTATTAATTTTTGGCTTTGCTTTGCTTGGATTTTTAGGTCACTATATATATATATATATATATATATATATATATATATATATATATATATACTCAACACTTGCTTCGGAAGTAGACGGATTTGAATACAATAATACAATATTTCTCCTATAAACAAAATAAATACAGAAAGATCTAAATAATTAAATATATTTGTTTAAATTTCCTTTAAATTGGTTAATTTAATTACCTGGCATATAAAAGGAATGAAGTAATGTAGAGGAACTTAAAAATATTAAAGATATGAAGGATAATATATTATATAAACCAGACCAATTGAATTCAGATATTTAATTTTAATTAAAAATAATATATGTACATCCATAATTATAAATGTCCACATTATAATGAAAACAAAAAAAAAATTATTTTTTAATCGAGTTGAAATTTACAATGTTAAACATTTCAAAATTTGTTTCTGCTATCACTCAATACCTCTTTTTACCAGTGGTGCCCACAAGGGGGGTTCCATGGCGCAAGTTGCGCCATCAAAGTTTTTGAGGGGGAGCACATTTTGATGAGGATTTGAATTTTTGAGGTGGGCACGTTTCGACGGGGTTATGAATTTTCGGATTGAAAAGTGTTAAAATAGTGGACAAGACAAAAACAGAGTATAGACCACTGAAAGTGTAATTGTATAAGACCTATAATTTTTAAAATTTTACCTTAGCTCGCACCCCCATACCAGACTGAAACGACTAGAAACCGGCCTTCGTTTTCGACTACTGCAGCACTTACTATACAAACGCTCTACACTTCCAACTATTTACAAAAGACTCATATATATTACTATAATAAGGATAATTTGAACTTGCGGGATCGAGCTTTGGGGATCTACTAAACCATCAAATTCTTCTCGTATCCAATCCCTACAATCCAAAATCCTTCGTAAAATACTCAATGCTCCCAACTTTGTCACAAATAAAATCATCCATAACGACCTTAATGTACCATATGTTTCCGATTTAGCTCAATCCAGATACCAATACTTCCATAATAAACTTCTGAACCATCGGAACCCTCTTGTTTCCAACCTTGCTTCCTCTTCTATTCCTGATAACCATCCGAGGCGTCTGAAAACAAGATGGCCACGGGACCTTCTAATATACAAATATAATTTGAGTGCTAACAATGGGTAGTTTCTCTTCATGCTGTACATGTCAAGTTACTTGTTTCATATTTACTAGTTGTATTTATCAATATACAGTTGTAAATTTCAATAATAAAAAAAGGAGGTGTTGGGGGATCATATGCCATCGACCTTGGGGGGGGGAATGGGCACCCCTGCTTTCAACTAAGAAAAAGAGCTTTCAACATGAACTGATGTAAGGGGATTCATTTTGTAACAAGCAACCACTGCTGGCTTGTTCTTTGTTATGAACTTTAACATTTATATGGTTAATACAGTCGTTCTATTTTTTTATAAGAGCGTAACCCTTATTTTTCCTATTACGGAGTATAATTTTTATTGATGCCGAAATCATAATAGTCTACAATTCACTTCAAAGCCGGAAGTGATGCTGAAGGACTTAAGAAAGAGTGAGAATTCAAGTTAAAACAAGGAAAGCAGTTTTTTTATTGAATTATTTCAAGCAAGTTCAATTCCACGAATAACCTGTCTGCACTTGTGTTTGTTTCGTCCTTATGTAACTGTAAATTCGAATTTGCCTGTCACAGAATGTTTTATCTTCTTCATATATTTTTTCTTTCTTGAATTATAAATTTAATATGAACAACATTGTGAAATAAAAAAGTAAATATTAACACACAAATATATATTTATAAATCATTCAATCTACCAATTTAAGCCAAAAACGAAAAAACTTGCAATATAAAATTTTAATATGTTATTTTACAGATCCTAAAACTGATAAATATTAGGGTCCGGGGTTTTTACACGCAAGCGAATAAAATGTGTAATATTATAGAAATAAGGTCTCTAATTATTACAATTTATAAATATTTTTTATGAAATACAATATGTACACAGAACAATTAAAAATAAATAAATTACTCGATTTTCAGCAAACCTTTTGTATTATATTAAGCTTTTAAATTATAATTTTAAAAAAGAATTTTTTTGGGGGAGAGGCAACAGTCAATCCTCCCCTGCGCACGCCCATGGCAGCAAGTTAGAAATATTTAGTGATTTTCCTTTTTACAGGTAAATATTTTACTGATTTAGTTTAGTAATGTATTACTTAGATTAATAAATAATTAATAATATTTAAAAACACCTAAATATTATTGGCTAAATTAAAATGATATTTTTTCAGCAAAGTAAAATTAATTTTTAACTATAATATATATATATATATATATTCATATATATATATATATATATATATATATATATAGGGTGTTTCGTAACTGCAAGTCACTATTTTAGGTATGTGTTCACTAACACAAAATAAACAAAAAAGTTCATATTAACATAAATCTCAAACTCATTTATTAAACAAATATCAAAGGTTAAAGATTTATTATTTATTATTACAACATTTAGAGTAACTGTTTAAAGGGGCCTCCGTTTTGTTGAATGCAACATTCAGCACGACAAATCCATGCTTCTCTGGCTCTTCGTATAGCATCAGGATGGTGCTTGATAGTTACTGTGGTTTCTTGTGGGCGGGGTGGCCGAATGGGCTAACTACAGTGGCTTAATAATACAGTGCGGTCATATGGATTCGATTTCTGATTAGTTGGCCATCTTGGATCGGCCCTTGCTATCTGCTTGCTCTTTAGCCACCTCAAAACTGTTAAAATTTCATATTTTATTAGCAGTATTTTAGTTCAGAAGCTTAATTTTGTTGTTTAAGTGATAGGTTTAGTTTATTAACAGGTAGTTTTTATTGAATAGTTATACGTTTTAGTGTTTTCAGTGATTGTTTTGGTTTCTTGTTCAGTGATAGGTTTCATCTTTACAGACTTATTTTATTAGTGATATTTTATTTAAAAGTTTAATTGTGTTGTTTTAGTAATAAATTTAGTTTACTAATAGGTAGTTTTTATTGAATACTTGTACGTTTTAGTGTTTAAAGTGATAGTTAACCTATTCATGTTCAGTGATAGGTTTCATCTTCACAGACTCATATTTTATTAGTGATATTTTGTTTGAAAGTTTAATTGTGTTGTTTTAGTAATAGATTTAGTTTATTAATAGGTATTTTTTATTTAATAGCTATATATATTAGTGTTTAAAGTTAAAGTGACAAGTTTAGTTTCTTCTTCGTAGACTTAAAATTGTGAGTATACTTTAATTTTTTACTTTATTTTATTAATTTTTCTTTTTAATTCAGTGGTAATGAAAGAAAAAGATGGAAATCAAGTTTGAAACTTGGTTATATGAAGACAGTGTCTATAGTTCGAGGCTATTAGCTAACACAATTTTTATCTTGAAGTTATTAGTTTCCAGTATAAAATTGAAATTTTGTTTTCCTTTATAGTTGTTGTTACTTTCATCATTAAAATATGAGTATCATTTAAGGTCAAGATTATCATTTAAGGATTATCAACTATACTCAATTAAACTATGATTTAAGGATCATCAACTACACTCATATTTTTAATATTGAAAGTAACAATAACTATAAATGAAAACCAAATTTCAATTTTATACTTGAAACCACTAACTTCAAAATAAAAATTATATCAGCTAATAGCCTCAAACTATAAAAATATCTTCTAGAATCAAGTTTTAAACTTAATTTCAATCTTTTTCTCTCATAACCACTGAATTAAAAAAGAAAATAAATAAAATAAAGTAACAAATTAAAGGATTAAGTCAATTTCGAAACCTATATGAGCCAAATCAACTCAGAGGTGATTTAAGAGGATTTTTCATAGAGAAAAATGAGTTCTGTTGATGAAGAACACATATTTAATTGTAACAATATTAAATATAGTATTCTTAAGAGGTTTATTGTATTTAGACTTAGGATAAATTCAATAAGTAAAAAGAATTTCCCTCATATGTCTGTTTTTAGCAGTAAATATGTAAATGTATATGTGCAGCATTTATAAATTTAAATTTCTTTGTAAATAAATATTCTGTTTCATCTTTTTTTTTTTTATATTCCTTTGTTGATTAAAAATGTTTTCTTTTTCAAGTTAAATTGGATAGTTCTTCAATCAATTGATAATTTATTGTATTTTATCCTTACAGTTTTATGTTTCACTATTAGTTATTTTTACTTGGTATATCCTGTGTGATAAAATTGAAAATATATTATAGCCAACAATCTCTAATTTCCCAAAAAAGTAATGAAAAATAAATAAAATAAGAGATGCAATATAAAATATCTACATTATGGTAAGAGGTAAACCATTTCATAAAAAAATATTTTATATCAATGATCAGAAATGAATCTATACATCGAGGATCAAATTTTGAACTATTTAAAATTTTAATTATAGTGGATTTATAATAGTTAGTGTTGTCCAAAATCAGTCTTGGTGATATACTTTGCAAAATCAAGACTAAAGCCTGCGTAACTTGTAAGACCAAGACCAAGATTGATAAAAAAATCCTTTTTATGAATAAAACTTAAGTTAAAATAGTCAATCTTGAAATAGTTGTAATAGTAAAACTTGAAAAATTTAGTTACCATATGTAAAGAATTGGTGTAACCAATATCCTTTGGAATTTAACTCTCAATTTTTCATTTAGGCTTAGGTTTCCCATGTCTGACAAATTACAGTAATATATCTATAATAAGAAGCTGATAGGTAACTGGAAGACTGTTGCGAGACTTGCACAAGACCAAGACACCTCATGGTCTCGCATTTGGGCAACACTAGTTGTGGTATTCAGTCATAAGCAATATAAATAAATTATATTTATTAAATTTACATTAAATAATTTATTTTTATTAAATTTACATTAAATAATTTATATTTATTAAATTTGCATTAAATAATTTATATTTACTAAATTTACATTAAATAATTTGTATTTATTAAATTTAGATTAAATAATTTACATTTATTTAAAGTTTTTTTTTCTAAAGGTGAATATTAAGAAGAAAAATAAAAATAGTTTCATGATTGCTGACTTAGAATTGAGTTTCTGGTTTTCCAATGAAAGTTAATTTTCACTCAGTTTTTGTTTAATGTTTTAATAATTAATTAATTTGTTTGTGAAATTTGCCAATGAGAGAGTAAGATGAACACAATGGAAATCTTAATATGCCGAAGTTTATTGGAATATATTTTAAAAGAAATTAAACAGAAAAAAAAAACAAATATTGTTCTTTGATTTTATTATTTATTTTCGCGTGATATAAGTGATTCATATGCTTCATACAGATTGTTCAACTTCAATTCTATCTCCCAAACCATTCTAATAAAGAGTTTGTTGCAATAATTACTTTTTAAAGTGAAATAACAAAGACAGACTATTCAAATATTAGTTTCCCGCCGATCCAATATGGCCGTCCTCTCCGTATGACCGCACTGTATTATTAAGCCACTGTAGGGCTAACGCGTGTGCACTGCACCGTCGTTGCCCGGCAACCTGATGCATGAGATTTGATTTAAAAAATAGTCACGAGTTCGCGTCCCGGTGCCCGGAGGAGTTTTTAAATCCTCGCCTCCCTGGCCCGGGAAAACCCCCGTATAACCTCAAAGGCGAGGAAGGGGAGGATAAAAAAAAAAAAAGAAAAAAGGTTACTGCAGCTTCCACGATCCGATTTCTTAGCTCTTCCTGAGTGCCAACTGCCACAGAATAAACCATGGACTTCATTCAGCCCCACACAAAATAATCTAATAGGGTTAAATCTGGAGATCGTTGTTGCTATTTAACAAGTCCGTTTCGACCAACCCATCGGTCTCCATAAGTTGAATTTAAAATAATCAGTGACACTATTAGAAAAGTGAGCTGTAGCACGGCCATGCGTAAACCACAGCCTCTGTCTAATGACTAGCGGAATATCTTCAAGGAGTTTATGAAGATTATTTTGCCGAAAATGTAAGTAAGATATACCTGACAGCCTAGATGGCAAAAAGAAGGGGTCGATGATGTTGTCGCTTAGAAGACCACACCAGAGACATTAAAAGAAAAGGTATGTTGGTAACGAACAACAGCAGTCGTATGAGGGTTTTCTTCAGCCCAAGTATAGGTATTTCGAAAATTAAGAATCTCGTTTCTTGTAAAGCAAGATTCATCAGTAACCAAATTACAGTTCAGGAAGTTAGGATCTCGCGTGCAGGCATAGTCAAATTAACCACTGGGAGAAATTTCTGCCCTTGTTATAATTTTTTGTTAATAAATCTTGCCTACTCGATACGTAAAATGGATACAATTGTTCGCCAAACGCTGGTAGATCAAACATCGAAACGAAGTGGCAATCTTTTGGTACAAGTAGTAGGGGATAATTGAACAGCGTCGCCAATTTGTTGCTCAACGTTTGCAGTTCGGCGTTTACTCGTATAGATTTTAGCGTATCATTATCCCTAAGAAGCCTTCCAATGGCCTCAAACGTTTTACGATTGGTATTCTTCGATTAGGAAATTTTTCACGATATCTTCGAACAGCAGCAGTGCCGTTTCTTTGTACCAGGCCATAAGTTAAAAGCATGTCTGTTTGTTCTGCAAAAGTGAATAAATTTATGGTGCCTCACATGATAATCATAAATTGAACTGTGACACAGTATTCATTTACACTAAAATACACAGAACTAGACAAACATATGGGCAACTACTGTCATTGCTTATCGTTCATTTGTTTAACAGGTGATTAAAACCTGTTATTTAGTATTAAACACGTTAAACTTTGTACAGTCAGTCTTAATGAAGTAAATAAATAATAAATATTTAACCTTTGATATCTGTTTATAATGTAAATGTAAATGAGTTTGAGATATATGTTAATATGAACTTTTTTATTTATTTTGTTAGTGAACACATACCTAAAATAGTGCCGTTCAATTACGAAACACCCTATACATATTTAAAATAAAATGTGATTTTTTAGTTTACGATGTAAAATATCTTGTGAAATTTATCTTTTGAAGAAAAACATTTCTTGATTTGAATTTCCTTTTTCTAATGAATTAGATACAATTTCGAACAACTGTGGGTTTTTATATGAACAGCATAGCTGAAATTTAAAAATTACATATAAAAGTCATCAATTTTACTCTACACATTTTTTATCAAAAACAGTCCTCATGATTTTGATTTTCATCCTGATATCGATGTATATTTTTACAGTCTTTAATCTTAAACTAATACTTACGTTTAAAATTAAAAAAAAAACTGTTCATTGCTAGAATCATTTTCATGAAAATGTAAATATTGGGATCAGAAACATTTAGTTTATCTTATAGTTTAATTCCTATAAAAGAGATTTGGATAAAGAAGTTTAATTATCATTTTAGATGATAAATTTATGAAAAACCTTTTTTTTTTTTAAACATAACATGTGTATCTATGTTTATTATAATACATCCGAGGTCATATAAAAACAAAACAAAAAAAAAAAAAAAAAATACTTCACAATAATTTAGTGATAATTAAGTGACAGGATGTCAAATCACACCATTTTTATGCACAACATGAGGAGAATCTCAACATATTACGTAATAAATATTGACTTAAACCTTATTAAACAAGGAAGTTTTTCTAAAGGTGTGGTATCGGAGGATGGAGGGTGATAATTACAAAAAAAAAATTAATGATTTAAATATAAACAACAAAACTTGGCTTAGTTTAGGCCCTCAAAAGTCATCTTTAAACTGTTTGAACAATGGCAAACTCTACTTTCATTTGAACTAAATTTTGTCTAGTTTACCGTGAAGCGGTTGTTAATTACTTGAACTAAATATTTGTTTAGTCATGGCTTCCTATTCAACAAAAAAAACAACAACATACATTTCATACTTTTCTGTGGGAAGTCGGACGATTGTTTATATAAAATTTTCTGTAGATAGGTTTGCTGTCACCCCTTTACACATTTTCCTCTACTTATGAACACTCTATACAGTAAAGAATTGTCATACTTAATTAATAAGTATATAATAAAATTAATTTTTACTGAAAGTAGAGAGGTAAATTTATTTAATTTAGTTTAAAATTATTTATAAATTTAATTATAACTTTTCAGGTATCATCGATACTGCGGATAAAACAATTTATTTTCATAAAAACCTTCCTCAAAAAGATATATATCTTTTTTTATTTCTGTATTACAAATAAAAATAAATTCAGCAAATGTTAACACAAGAATATAATAACATGAAACCAATTGTTAAAAACAACCCACTGGTAGAACTCTAAAAATTTACAAAAGGTGATCACGAGGCCATCTTCTTTTCAGACGCCTCAGAGGAAAAAATAAAAAATAATAATATTCCTTAAAATCGGGAGATATCCTAAAAGTTATAATAAATCGATACCAGATCATGAAATGTTTATATCGATGTTATTGAAAGAAAAAAGAAAAAGAGCCTTTGGTAATATAATAACTGGCCTCAGCATCGCTGCAATCTGAAAAGTGATAATATATCGGAAGTGAAGAGGAATTCTTAAAATCGATGGAATTTTTATAAAAAGCATCCTAACCTAATAATCGACCTCAATATCTCAGATACCTAAAAACTATTGATGAATCGACACATAGCTTATAATCGATAGTATATTCATAAAAAGCTCCTTTATAATCTACCGATTTTAGTAAAATATATAAGGTGTTTTTAATCCTACTCTGGATAGAGTGCAATATTGAAAAAGTTACTACTGACCTAAGTTGATATTTGTTTTTCGCACTTCAAAAACCCATTAATACGAATTTTAATAGCAATCGAAAAATTAAATTTTTTTTGCACGATATTTCTGTCTAGGCTGGACCCTTTGAAATTTTGTCGACAACTTCAGGGCCACTCGACCAATTCACACGAAAATCAGCATATATTTAGGGTCCTGTGAGATAATATATGACAAAACTACACGAAATGGGACAAACCAGACCCACTTAAACAAATTAGAACTGGAGATATAAAATAAAAACGTCTCAAGAGTTTTTTTTTTTATTCCTCTTAAAGGCGCAAAATCTAAAGGTTATTGATATGATTTGGAAGATTTCCAACGTTTGCAGAAATGTAGCACTTGGCGAAAATTCTAAGAAGTTATGAATTATGCTTGGTAAACGACATGAAGAAAAAAACATATGTCCAAAAATTTATATTTTTTGATTTACAAAAAAAAATCATACTTAAGAGTTCTAAAGGACGCTAGAAACGAACCTCTTTTAAAAAAACGAAGTTTTTTTTAATCGGCTCCTAAAGCGCATTGGTAAGAACTCTTGGACTTGGGTCAAATATTTTTCAATCTAGTATCAACCAAAAAAAGTTTCATAGAAATTGGTGAACCGATCAACACTTGAGTGAGAAATCTTAAAATTTATACTGAGGATGTTTTTTTATTAATAAACCCTCAGTAACCTAATTATCGACCACAATGAACAAGATACCAGGAAATTTTAAATAAATCGATGCCTTAGCTTTAAGTCGATAGTATTAAAAAAAAAACGAAAATAAATTAGGGCAATCAGTAACTTAACCGGAAATTTTAAATAAATTGGTACAAGAGTGAGAAAGCTTAAAACCGATAACGTTTTCATAAAAAATCGGATTTTCGACAAAAATCAAAACAGGTATTCATACGAAAAATTATGAAACATTAACAAAATAACTTATTATAAAACTTTATTCAATCGGAATTTTATACTTTATATTTTTCTCATGACTTCCTAAAATTAATTTTGTATAGGTCTTCTTTTTTATTTTATAAAATAAATTAATTTTGCAGTAAAATTTATCGATATCTAAAAATATAAAATATATTAAACTATTAAGCAAGCTGTTGTAGTAAAAATATATTAAAACTTAATTCACTAAGCAAGCACCTAAAGTAACCAATATCTACCTTTTACCATGTCACTTTCGGATGACCACACTCTAAAAACCACTTCAGGGACCAGTTAGAACTTGAAAACAGATGAATCAACAGTTGAAATGTCTATATGTCCTATTAACCAATTTATATTTGGCCCATAAGGTGGTGTAATTATAATTGTATTCAATTTTAAATGAGTAATTCGTATTTCAGAATGCTTCAGAAAATGTTGAGCATTTTGGATATTGTATACGTTAATTATAAACTTACATAAACTGATTTTAGAATCTTTTGAGTTCATCATGATTATATTTTCATCCTTTAAATGATTAAAAAGGATGCTTCCTGTCACCACAGTTTTTGCAACTGAAATAATTAAAATTTAATAATTCCCAAAACCAGAGTTTGAAATTATTAGATATGTAAACAATGTTGCAAGCTGAAATTATGATTAGTCGAATATCGAAGTACACAGAGGTTTCACATAAGTGAAAGCATTTTGAAATAATAAATTTAAATTTTCTTTTTCAATTTCAAATATCGAAACTGTCATTATGTTGATATTTCAAAACACTTACCTTTTAATATGAAATCCATATTAAAAAAACCTAAATCAACAAACTGACTTAGCTTAATTTACAATTTACAAATAGTAATTAAACTTTTTCCAACTAAAATGGATTGAGTAAATGTTAGAGGAAGGAGATGGTCCAGGAGGGCGGTCATAAAGAGACTAAAATAGTGGGAAAGTATTTTATTTCAAGCCAAACGTTTCGACCCAACTTTGCATGTCTTCTTCAGGGAGGTGCGTTAAGCAAGGAGTTTCAGTTAAAACTGGATTGAGTGGAACTCGATTGAGTAAATGATGTTCGACTCTCAATGTTTGCTACAATGTTTACACATTATGTTTTTGCTATGTTTATGTTAACAGCACCAACTTATAAAATTCCTTTTTGGGTAGATTTTCACACAAATATTTATTATCAATTTTATATTTATATATTGTACAGCTAGATTACCAAAGTCAGCCCACTGTGTGGCCCCACTTTAATAATAGGCCTCTTTTCCACCTGATTAATTGTAACTGCTCAAAAACAAACCAAACCATATCAATCAGAAATTATTGTTATTGGTTATTTTTATTGTTATTGGTTGTTAACTATTAAAAAATAATTACCGACAATGATTAAAAAAACACAGTGCACTGATCTGTAATTAATCAATAAAGTAATTTAAATAAACAAAATGGTTATTTTATGTTAAACTAGCAATGCATCATACACACGGTACACAGACAAAACTGTACCCTCTTACAAACGCTAAGACATTGACTGGTTGGAAAGAACCTCCAGGATTTCTAGTTGTAGAGGTAAATTTTTTCCCAGTCAGTTAAATTCCTGATGTATCACTGTAATATTTTTTCTGTACAGATATATTTCAGCCCGGTCGAACCCTTAGTGCGTGAAAGAGGCCTTACATTACTAGCTCACAGATAGTGCTATGAAGTACATATGCTTTGCTAGCTTGGAAGAAGGATGGCACAACTCAAAAGTTAATTTTTTTTATTTTTGCATAATTACAATCATATTGTTGATTAATATTACTTTCTTCTTAAGCACAAATATATATAAAAATGTTAAGAAATAAACAGTTAATGCAGAGTATACCACAAAAGAACTAGGAAACTTCAGGAGCGGATTCTATACCTTAATTATGACAAAAACATCTATATAAACCATCGTCTGAACTATTTGGTGGGAAAACTCTGCTCTATACTAAAGATGAAAATTTCCATATATCAAAGCAAGGAAAACACAAAGTAAGAGTCGTATTTGTTATAATTCAATTTGTTAAAAGAGAACAAAATATTGTAAATAGGCAAATTTAAATCAATGATGTTATGTTCTAACTACTAAGTGGGTCTTCATTTTCTAATGAGTGATAGGATACTTCAAGAGATCTCAGAAATATGTTATCTAACCAGGAAGCAGACACAACATAAAAATGTTACAAACATTAGGTAAAACAGCTTAAAAAGCAGAAAAACATCATACTTGGCCAAAGTATTAAGTGGACATTGTTTAACAAAGTATTCGGCACACACTGTAGCTGACAGATAACAAGTGAAAATGTAATGATCAAACCAATCAACATCTAACATATAAATGCATACTATTCATCAGAACTATGTTGATCAAAAGTGGTGGGACATGTAATATTAAAGAACAATCCAACAGGGTAAATAAATGTACAAGCAGTGGAGGAAATGAGATAGAATATTTAATAAAAAAGTAAAATAAAGTTCTGGCATGAACATTTATAAATAAAAAAATGGGATATTTAATCATTAATTCAAAATTCCCAACGTTTCAAGAGACAAATTAACCAATAAGCCAACTGACACTGGCATAGGGGCACACAAAGCCTGAGGAAACATGTTTAAAAAAAGTTTAAATAACAGTAAAAATGAATTGGTTTATAAAGCCAGGTGCATCCAATTTTAAATCTCGCGTGGGCCATCCAGGTTTAATCACTTTTGAATGTTTTAATTCAGTCACAATACATGACATAATAAAGAGAACTTGGCCATGGGAACATCTTTTTATTAGCCAATTACACTGCATATTTGATAAATGTTTTAATTAAGAAAAATATCAAGGTGAGTTTTCTAACTAATTGTTCTTCACTCATTATAATATTAAGTTTCTAATAAGAAAAAAATGGTGAGTGCAGGGTGAATAAAAATAACACTAAACCTAAAAAAATGAGAAGTTTTTTATCCTAGAAAAAACTTAAAATATATACGAAAAGGATTAAAAGAAAAAAAAAACCTAAATCTACAGGAGAAAAACCAAACCTGGCAAATTTATTGGTTATTCCTAGTGATTTTTATTTTATAACTGATATTAACAATATAGATATAATATGTCAATCAATGTTAACCAATATAATTCCTAATATGTAAATAAGAAATGTCTAAGTCAGTGTAAAATAGCAATATAAAACATAAAAAATCATTAAATAATACATTCTGACCAACAAATATTTAAACATCTAAACTTGAATGTAGTTACAGTAAGATAGATAAATGATTCATATTTGCTCTACAAAGATGCTAACTGCGGGACTAAATGATATCAAAAGTGTATTTACAAATAAGCAATTATTTTTATAGTAATAAATGCAATAAACAATTTAAGTCATCATTTAAAACTTTTATAACTAATTGATTAATTTCTACTATCAACTAACATAACCATTTAATAAAATTGACAAACACACTATTTTCAAAAATAAATTCATATAATAGCCCACATAACCACTGAAATAAAATAAATAAACAAAACGACAATTTCTTTAGTCATCATTTTAACAGAGACTAGAATAGGAAGTGATTTAGAATATAATTAATTCGTGAAATCTTACTGTGTCTGAAGTGTTTCCTCCCTTCTTATCTTGTAATGAACTTTTTTTGATCATCATTCTGTCTTGAACATTGAGATGTCCTATTGTACTGGACATCTTCGTTAATAAACTGTACAGTAGCCTAGCCACTCTGGTAACTTAAAAAGGGTACCTCAGATTTTCTTGGCTAATAAGACCGATTACGATCTTGGATGATACCGATAAGAAATATCAGACAAAATAAAATTAGTGTCAGTTGTATACCCCCAAGATTTGGCCAAACCTAAAGGAAAATTTAGAGAAGTGGGGAGCCTCTCAGACAGCTGACCATTTTACTGCAGTGCAGGTTTCAAAATTACTACAGGTGATAAAAATCGATCTTCTTCCAGAGAGGTCCTTTTCTCTCCTTTTGTGAGACAAAGCAGAGATGTGAAAATGCTAACGTGAGTACCATGTCACAAGTTTTTTTTTTTCGTAATACAAAAATTGAACTACAATGGGAACTTGTAAATAAAGTAGTGATTGAGTGCACTTTCAAACAAAAAAAAACAAACACAAACTTATATTTTTCAAATTTTCAATTCTTTCTAACTAACAATAGTAATTTTAAGTAACATCTGTTTTTAAATATCTTTTTAGAACAGCTGTTTTGTCTGGAATTAAAATAATACATTTCACATTGCATTTAAATGTAAAAAATCAAACGTTCACAGTTAACAAATTCCGGAACATCCTCCCAAATTGAGGAGTTTATAACTATTCAACAAACATTGCTAATAATAATTACAAACAAATTATAAAAACATAAACAGCACGTAAAATTCAAATTCTCTCTAACTGATGTGGACTACAAAATGATTCAAAGAAACCGTATAGGCATTCGCACATTTCTGCCACATCGAGTTTGTAATAATCTATGTAAATATGTTGTCTAATATTTAGTGAGCCATGGTGGTATTTTAGAATATGAGAATGTTACAATATTTGTGTATTGGTTTTAAAGTTGGGTTAATGATTGTAAAGTGCTAAAGGACCCTAAGATAAGGACTTTAATTCAATTCTTTTAGGTAATAATACTTTGTTTTGTATTTTCTTTTATTTGTTTATATCACACTTATCATTTATAAATTAATTGTAAATAAATTAATTCTTTTAGTGAGTTAAAGAATCGTTTGAAGTCTGATAACCCTTACATCACAATCTTACAAATTGAATTAAAGTTTCAAGAAGATGGCTACACATTTGTATTGCCATTTTATTAAACAAAGTGAAGATGAATACGATTTTGTGGCATTATCAGTGGATAAAACTGAATGGTATGCTTTACCTGATACATTAAAAAATTTAAATGATCACAAAGAATTATTAAGTTTAAAAAGTATTGCTAGTTGTATAAAATCTATTTCAAAAGCAGGAGGCTTCAGAAAAATTTGTATTAAATTAAATGAAAATTTAAAATATAAATATATGGATGAAGAAGGTAATTTTTGTGTGAACAAGCATTATCTTAAAGAGGTTATAACTAATGTGGAGTCATCTAGAGGTGAGGAAAATAGTGAAAAATTTCTAATAAATAAAATAAAAGAGTTAGAAAATCGTTTATCAGCTGTTAATGATGTTAGTTTAGTTGATGTAGAAAAAGAAATTGTTATAACAAAATTTAATGAAAAGCAAGATCCATTAAGTTGGATAGAAGTTTTTGAGAAGGAGTGTATGCGATATAAAATCACGAATGATTAAAAAAAAATAGAGGCATTGAAATTATTGTTGGAAGGCAATTCTAACGAGTGGTATATTTCTAATACGCTTAAGTTGTCATTAACAGATTGGGATAGTTGGAAACAGTCTTTTCTATTAGTCTATAGTAAAAAGGGTTGGACAAACATACGTCTTGCATTTAACTATAAATTCTAAACTATAAATGTTTGGGTCGTTGGTTGAGTATATATTAAAAAAAGAAAGATTACTATTTGAGGCAGATAAAGATATTCCAGAACTTTACAGAGTTTACCAGATTGTTTGCAATTTGCCTTTGGAGATTCAAGATAAATTACACCGGGACAAAATAAAAACAATTGATGATTTAATAGAAGCAGTAAAATTATTTGTAGTTAAACTATTGAAGACTAAACTGCATAAAAATAAAACAGTTTTGCAAACAGTAAGTGGTGTGGACTTTAGTGAACGCCGGGCTCAGTTATATTTAAAAATAGGTTGTATTGAAGAAAGGTTAGACTTGATTATTATTAAAAATAATAAATTTAATTTTGATTTGTTGTTAGGTCTGGACGCAATAAAAAAGTTCAGACTGATTCAGGATGAAAATTTGAAGATTCACCAGAAAATAGATAAAAATAGCATGGTAGAATTAAATGAAATTGGACCTATTACAATGGTTCAAGGTACTACATTATCTACGAAACATTTGAGATATCATCACCATCCTGAGGTAACTAAATATTGTGAGTCACATTTAACACACTTAAATTCTGATCAAAAAAGAATAATTAATATATTAAATCAAGATGGGTAGACGTCATTTGCTGAACATAAATTTGATGTTGAAAGAGTATCTGGTACTGAAGCAGTTATTAAACTTAAGGAAGATAAATATATATCGAAAAAGCCTTATAGGTGTTCATACCCTGATCAAATAGAAATAAATACGCAAATATCCAAATTGTTAGAACACAATTTAATAGAAGAATCTGATTCTCCTTTTGCCTCTCCTATAACACTGGCTTTTAAGAAGGAGCATGGAAAAAGAACACGTTTGTGCATAGATTTTAGGGAGCTAAATAGGATAGTGGTTCTCGAACCTCAGCCATTTCCACGAATAGAGGATTTGGTTGTTAATATAGGAAATTGTCAATGGTTTACTGCATTAGACATTAATTCCGCTTTTTGGTCGATACCCTTACGATTAAAAGATAGGAAAAATACCGCATTTGTATCCCAGAATGGTCATTATCAGTGGAAAGTCTTACCATTCGGCTTTAAAAATTTCCCTGCCATCTTCCAACGAGTATTAGCTAATATCATTCGACAACATCACTTGGAAAAATTTTGTGTGAACTACATAGATGATATTTTAATTTTTTCTAAATCATTTGAAGAGCATGTGCGACATATTAAACAGTTTATGAAGGTGATAATACAAGAAGGGTTTAAATTGAAATTAATTAAGTGTTCTGTTGCCCAATCTTCTGTTAAATATTTGGGTCATATTATAGGAAATGGAAAAGTATCTCCAGTTCATGACAATCTTATTGCGATAAAACAGTTTAAACGACCAACGAACAAACGAATGGTCCGTCAGCTGTTAGAGAAAATTAATTTTTATAGAAAGTTTATTGATCATTGTACTCACAGACTATCTCCATTGCATAAATTGCTGAAGAAGAAAGAAAAGTTTATGTGGACATCCGAATGTGATGAGTGCTTTGAAGGGATTAAACAATATCTGTGTTCTACTCCTATATTAGCCATATATGATCCTGCTTGTTCTAGAAGTAGATGCGAGTCGTCTAGGGATAGGAGCAATATTGAAGCAGCCCCAAGAAGATGGTTTTCTGCATCCGGTAGGATATTTCTCTAAGAAACTAACTCCAGGGCAAGCAAAGAAGGAGATAATGTATTTGGAGTGCCAAGCCATAAAGGAGGCCATTTTATTTTGGCAACACTATTTAATAGGAAAACAGTTTGTTGTTATGTCTGATCACAAGCCTTTAATAAACTTAAAAACTAAATCCCGCACTGATGAAGCCCTAGGAGATTTAATGTTGTATTTGTCCCAATATACTTTTAAGGAGCTTTATAAACAAGGCAAGGATAATGTTGAAGCGGATGCGCTGTCTCGCAACCCTTGAAATTTGATGTACTTGAAATTTTTGATAACACGGAGGATTGTATGGAAGTAGTAAACTTAATAAACTTAAATGATATCGTTGAAGATGAAAAATTAATGAAAAATGAAATAGCAAGATCCAAAAATATTTCACAGGAGAACAATATAAGTTTTAAATTACTAAACAACAGAAAACGAATATATGTCTCTCCACAATTTGGAGCATCTTTAATTGAAAAAATTCACAATTTTTATGGTCCTATTGGCTGCAATCAAATATGTAAGAAATTAAGACCTTTTTATTATTTTAAAAATATGGATGTTTTGATTAAACAATTTTGTAGAGCTTGCACAGTTTGTGTCAGAAATAAATCTAGAACCACTAGATCATTTGGAAAGTTATCAAAGTTAGGTCCAGCAACACAACCTTTTGAGATAATGTCGTTTGATACTATTGGTGGGTTTGGAGGTAATAAGTCGACTAAGAAGTTCTTACATTTGCTAGTTGATCATTTCAGCTGTTACGCTTGGATTCGGACTTCGGCCACACAAACAGCTACAGATTTTATAAAATTAATTCAACCAATTGTCAATATAAATCAAATAGGAACAGTGTTAGTGGATCAATATACTGGTTTAAATTCTACGGCATTTAAAAATTACATATCATCATTGGGAATTAACCTACTATTTACATCGGTAGACCATCCACAATCAAATGGGGTTAATGAGCGTCTCAACCAAACACTGACTAATAGGATTCGGTGTAAATTTAATGAAGATAGGTGTTGTAGTTATCCATGGACCAAAGTTGCAGAGACATGTGTACAAGAATATAATAATACGATACATACAGCGACTGGATTTTCACCAGCTTACTTAATATATGGAGAGATTTCTTGAATAGTTCCAGCGCAATTAGAAAAATCCTATGATCTTATTCAGGACAGAGCTCAAGCCTTAACCAACTCTGGAGATAGTTTTCAAATTAATAAACAAAGAATAGATCATCAACAACAAGACAGGGAGTTTAAGGTAGGAGATTTAGTGTATGTACATAATGGTAACAAAATAAATCGGAATAAGCTAGATGCTCTCAGAAGTGGTCCTTTTGTGATCGAAGAGAAATTATCAGCTTCTATTTACAAAGTGAGAGGAAACAAATCTCGCAAAGAAACCAACCAATTTCATGTAAGCCAGTTGATTCCTTACTCTTTTTTTCTCTGAAAAAAAAGAGTGCCCTACCAAGGAAGGTGTAAATATGTTGTCTAATATTTAGTGAGCCATGGTGCTATTTTAGAATATGAGAAGATTACAATATTTGTGTATTGGTTTTAAAGTTGGGTTAATGATTGTAAAGTGCTAAAGGACCCTAAGATAAGGACTTTTATTCAATTCTTTTAGGTAATAATACTTTGTTTTGTATTTTCTTTTATTTGTTTATATCACACTTATCATTTATAAATTAATTGTAAATAAATTAATTCTTTT